TGTGCCCTTCAGGCGCCCTCCATCCTGCTCCATGTGCCCTCCCTGTGACCTCCATGTGCCCTCCAGGCACCCTCCATCCTGCCCCAGGTGACCTCCCTGTGCCCTCCATCCTGCTCCATGTGCCCTTCAGGCGCCCTCCATCCTGCTCCAGGTGCCCTCCAGGTGCCCTCCATCCTGCTCCCTGTGCCCTTCAGGCGCCCTCCATCCTGCTCCATGTGCCCTCCCTGTGACCTCCATGTGCCCTCCAGGCACCCTCCATCCTGCCCCAGGTGACCTCCCTGTGCCCTCCATCCTGCTCCATGTGCCCTTCAGGCGCCCTCCATCCTGCTCCAGGTGCCCTCCAGGTGCCCTCCATCCTGCTCCATGTGCCCTCCAGGCGCCCTCCCTCCTGTTCCATGTGCCCTCCCTGTGCCCTTCAGGTGCCCTCCATCCTGCTCCATGTGCCCTCCCTGTGCCCTCCAGGTGCCCTCCCTGTGCCCTTCAGGTGCCTTCCATCCTGCTCCATGTGCCCTCCAGGTGCCCTCCATCCTGCTCCATGTGCCCTCCCTGTGCCCTCCAGGCGCCCTCCCTCCTGCTCCATGTGCCCTCCCTGTGACCTTCACATGCCCTCCATGTGAGCACCAGCTGTGCTCCATCCCTGCCTGGTCGCCTCCACCGCATGTGCACTGAGGATAGTGTCTTGGACACTGGCTTAACCATCACTGCATTGGGCTTAGGGTACTTAACAGGACGTCTGCCCTCTAACGCATCTTCGCGTTCCTTACAGCGCTGGTGGCTGGGGGCACAGGGCACTAGGGGATCTCCAGAACCTCGTCTCTTCCTTCATGGAAACTCTGTGTCCCTGTGTCCCCCTCCCCACCCATGCTGCTCTGTGTTCTTTATTTTCCACAGTTGAGCCCAGGAGCATCTCATGTCTAGCATCCTCCTGTATACAGCTGGGTATGATGACAGTTTTGGGGATATGCTTAAAAAATTATTTTTTAATCATTCCAGTTAGTAAAATGCATCCCAAAGTGACCATTTGGGAAGGAAAACTTCAGCTTGAATCCTCTGGAATTGCCATTTTTTAGGTAAAAACACTGTGGAATATTAATTTCACAGGGTTCAACCTAATGCTCACATAACGTCCAAGCCATCCTGTGTTTGTGAAAAGTCACCGTTTTACAGCCACACATTGAGTATTTGAGTGTGTGTGTATATAGGTCTGTTTACACACATATATATATACCCCTGTCTTTTCATTAATTACCACCCTACTTTTATATGTTGTCATTTATCATCATTTTACATACATTTTTGAATGTGTACAGGTGCATATATTTTTGTACGTGTCTACTTATGCTCAGTAGTACAGAAATTATAACACATCGTGATCTGTGTCGTAAAGGGAACAGCACTCCTCAAGCCCCCTTGGACTTTTTGTCATAAACAGGTTTGGAACAGGGTTAGTATATGGGGGGATAGGTTAGGTGGGTCCATAAGTGCAAAGGACAAGAACAGGACGAAGGAACCTGGGCTTATCTGGTACAGTGCACACACTAGACCATGTGATACTGGATTCCACCAGCTGTGGTTGGTGTGGGGACAGCCAATCCTAGAGGCACGGAACTGTGCAGAGCTCTGCGCACCGTGGGCCAAGCAGGGATGGGTGGGCCCCATTATACTGTGTTGGCTGTTGTTTTGATGCTTAAGAAACAGGAAGGGAACGTATTAATTAGACAATAGGTCTTGCTGCATGTCACAGTGGCCCACAGTGACAATGTCTTAAGCAAGACAGAGCTTTATTTCCCTCTTACCTCCCAGAGTCAGACCACCCAAGGTTGGTGTGGTAATCTTTACTGTGGTGTCATCAGGGACCCAGCCTCCTTCTGTCTTGTTGCTCAGCAGTTCCTAGAGCATTGTCTCTGTCTGTGTCAAGCTGACTCACTAGTAAGTCCACATTCCAGTGGAAAAAATGGGGAAGTGAGGGCACTGCCTGAAAGTTGCCCACATCTATCTTGCTTCCATTGGAATGAGTCAGGCCTAGCTGCAAGGGAGGCGGGAATGGCACCTTCCCTCCCAGGCGGTGTCCTGGGAGCACACAGCTGTCCCACAGAGGCCTCTCGTGCCTGTGTGTCCAGTGCTGCTGCAGTTTTAGGGTGGGATGCCATCTTCCTTTTCGTGTCAGTTATCAGACTTGTGGGTTATGACTTCTTGTGACTACAGTTCCTAGAATGTCTCAGGAAGAGTCAGGTACTTTTTTTTTTTTTTTATATATGTTTTTATTGATTTTAGAGAGAGAGGAAGGGCGAGGGAAAGGGAGAGAGAGATAGAAAGATAGATGAGAGAGAAACATCAACATCAGTCAGCTGCCTTTTGCACGCCCCCTCTGGGGATCGAGCCCACAACCCAGGCATGTGCCCTGACCGGGAATCGAACCACAATCTCCTGGATACTAGGTCGATGCTCAACCACTGAGCCATGCCGGCTGGGCTGTATCATTTTTTTGGGAACCCTGCATGGACATGCCCAGGGCGTCCTGCCATTCATGCAGGGGCTGCCGCTGACACTTCTTAGCAACCCTTTGTACTGAGAATGAAAACTTGGAGCACCTGGGGACTGGGGGGTCCAGATTTCTCCGGAAGTTCTTTCACTTTAGACAGAATAATTAATATAAAAACAGATTCCCTTTAGAATTAGGCTCTGGAGTATCTCCCTCGACAGCAAGAGGGCACCCAGATGATGCTCAGGGGAAGGTGAAGGAAAATGGCCTGTAGTTGGGGCGCGTGGTTCCCCGAGTTGCTGCTTCATGTTAGTCTTAAAATTGGATAGGTCAGGTAATGGAGTAGAAGCCTGTTTTAACCACCTGCTGTCACGGATGATCATAAACCACATTGAAAAGTGATAAAAATGGCCATTTGTGAAGGCCACGGAGTGTTCATTGTGTACGTGCTGGGATTGGGGGGGTCCCTTGTTCACCATCCGCAGGCTTCTCCCTCTCTTCTCAGCCTGTGGCAAAGTCTCTCTGCCTCTTTTCTGTTGTGTGTCTGCTGCTCACTAGTGTGGTTTAATCCTGAAGATTATTTAGAGCAGGGTTCTCAGCAGGGGCACTGAGGCATTTTCCAGAAAGTTCTTTGCTATGGAGTCTGTCTTGGGCGTTGTGGATGTTTAGCAGCATCCCTGTCCCTTGCCCACTGGACGCCCATTGGCACTGCCCCCCACTCCATTCCCACACCTGCAAAATAGAAAAGATCCAAGACTAAAAATCTGTCATTTCTTTCTTCATCCTCAAATCACCTGAAGCCAGTATAAAATATATTGTTTTCTCCGAGGGGATCATTCAGAAACCCCCAAAATCTCATTTCCTCATTGCACATCTTGTGGGACACACAGGGAAGGGTCTCTGGTGGGACCACGCTGACTGCCAGTCCTCGCTCAGCGCTCGTCACAGTCCTGTGGAAATGTGTTCACAGTCACCCCTGGCCAAGGAGCCCTACGACCCTGACATGCCTGTGGGAACACGTGTGTAAAATATCCTAAAACAGAAATGAGTCTTGAAGACCCGAGGCCTGTGTGCAGGAGCCCCGTGTGGTTCAGGAACCTGTGATTTAAACCCTTCGACTCCCTCTGAGCCCACCCATGTCTGCAGTACGGGCTCGGCCCCTGCTCTTTCCTCCCTGGATTTCACACACCCTTGTTTCCAGCCCTTTCCCGGTGACCGTCACCAGCCATGGTCTCCCCTGCAGACCTTTTGCTGCACGGCCACCCGACACTCACGCAGCCCCGTTCTGTTCCCAGGGTGCACGCTGCTCTTCTACGAGAACGATGGCAGGTCGGGGATGGAGCCCAGCAGTGTCCCCAAGCACGCCGTGTGGGTGGAGAACAGCATTGTGCAGGCCGTGCCCGAGCACCCCAAGAAGGACTTCGTCTTCTGCCTCAGCAACTCCCTGGGCGACGCCTTCCTCTTCCAGGTGAGTTAGGCATTTCCTTTCCAACCTGAACCGGATCCTTCCTCTCCTGCCCTGTTTTCCCGTTAGTGGTGGGTTTTATCGGTGGCTCCTTATAGAGACAGAAGTGATGAAGGACAAAGCAGACGTCTGGGTAGAGTTCCAGGAACGACTGAGCTCCCAGGAGCCTCCAGAGTAGTGAAGCCCACAGAGGGTGTGGGTTCAGTTGGAGAACCTTGCTCTGCCTGCCGCGGGTTGAAGGATTTCTCACTGTGGTCTTGGTATCATTTGCATAGCAATTTAGGAAGGGATCTGAATTCCTTAATTTAAACAGCATTTGAGCTGCCAAGTCTTTTTTTTTTTTTTTTTTTAATCATAATATGTTCTCTTCTAATGCTACTGGTAAAGGAAAATAATGACACTCCAGAAATGACTGGCTGTTCCCAAATGGTTTCTCTTTCATCTTATCAGATCTTTGTACCTAATGTTTTGGCAGTGTGAGTGCTCATTGTATTAAAAAATGCTAACCTGCTAATGACTTCAGGGTTAGCTTGTGGTCTTACAAGGAATCCTTTGAGTTTGGTCAGTTGTAATACACTCAACTAGAGCTCGTTGTGGTGTTTTGTTAGGAAGGCTTCCTTCATTAATTTCCACAATCAGGAACTATTCAGACCTTTATTCTCTGCTTCCTATGTGCTGTGCACATCGCTGTTGGCCATACTGAGAAGATTTTTGACATAGTTCCTATACTTAAAAGTGTTTACCTATTGTTATACTGGAGACAGACACGGAAAAAGATCTTTATAGTGTGGTCAAGTCCGACAGTGAATGTTAGGGCAGGGACAAGTAGGGTGAAATGGGCAGAGAGGATATTCGATGCAGAAGAGAGATTGGAACAAAGGCATAGAAGAGAGTAGTAGGTTATTTCACTAAGTTTCTGGGTTTGGTCCCTAAAGTTATTTCTATTTGGGAAATTAAAGTAATATATATAAAATAGTGATTCTGTTTGTGAACAGAAAAATATCTGTTATTCTTTCTTTATGATATAAAACACACGTAAAGAAGAGTACACACAACATAAATGGATTCCTCAGTGAATCTGTAACCCCCACCCAGGCCAAGAAATAGAAGTTTCTGGTGCCCTGTAAGCCACCCATTGCCCACATTGACACATGCAGCCCACTAGGTAAGTAGAATGAAATGTATTTTATCATCCAGGCCTGGACACTTTTGTTTATCTGGGAATATCTTTATTTCTCCTTCCATTTTGAAGGATAGCTTTGCTGGGTATGAAATTCACGATTGACAGTCTTATTTCAGTGCTTTGAAGGTATCATTCTACCGAGGGCAATCATCAGGACACTTTAGAGACTATACAATTTTGGGACTTATAGCAGCACTATTATTAACAATTATGCCAGGATAATAGGTATAAGTTGCAACATATTGTGTGTGTCATCTCTTTGTTGACTATATGCATCACTAATATCTTTTTCCACATTGTGGCTTGCTTTTTTACTCTGTTCAAGGTATCCTTTGTTATACTGATACTTGTACATTTTAACGTACACTCTCATTTCTCAGGCCTTCCTTTGTTGGTAGTACTTGTGTATTCTATTTAAAAAATCCAGCCCTGGCCTGGCGGCTCGGTTGGTTGGAGTGTTGTCCTGTACGCCAAAGGTTGCAGTTTGATCCCCAGTTAGGGCACATACCCTAGGTTGGGGATTTGATCCCCTGCTGAGGTGTGTACGGGAGGCAACTAATCAATGTTTCTCTCTCACATCGATATTTCCCTCTTTCTCTCTCCCTTCCTGTCTCTCTAAAATCAATAAAAACATATCTCAAGTGAGGATTAAACAAAAGAGTGGTCTTTAAAAATCTACATGCTCTAGGTCATGAAAATATTTTTTCATATAGTTTATAAACAATTTTTTCTGCATCTGGCGTAGCTTTGTAATAAGTGGAAATCTTGCAAGTGAGACAATGCCTAACTAACAACAACAAAGCATCTTGTCATAGCAGCAGCTCTGTTACTGAGCACTTACTTACGCCGCCATCTACATTGTGATGTACAGTGTGAATCACATTTAACTTCGTAGCCACCAGTGAGTTGGACGGTGTCCATATTCTGACCTGTGGATGTGGATCGTGTTCCCCATATGGTGACGCTGACGCTTACAAAGGCCGATAATTGGACCCCAAGTCGCACAGTTGCTGAGTGTTGGGTCTTGGTTTAAACCAAGCCTCTCTTTCCCCTGCGCCTCTTACTGCCTAAGGATACACTGTGTGTCCATTGCTAACACAGGCAACAGTGGCTTTTCTCATCCTTAGAATTATGTGGCTCACTGGGAATATTTCTAAATCACACCTCAGTTGTGGCCATTCTGGGTCACAGCACAGGTTAGATATAATCTGACTGATTTCAGGACACTCCCCCCTCCTTTTTTTTAAAATCCCCACCTGAGGATAGATATAGGGTATCCCAAAAAATGTATACACACACTTTGAATAATTATAAAGGCAGTGTTTATTAAAATACATTTCATTTTCAAAATTGAGCTATTAGCTGTTAAAGTGTGTATACTTTTTTTTCAGACACTCTTTTTTTTCGAAAAATTGATTTTAGAGAGAGGAAAGTAGGGGAAAGGGAGAGAGAGAAAGAGAAACATCAATTGGCTGCCTCCCACATGCACCCCGACTGGGGATCGAACCCACAACCTGGGTATGTGCACTGACCTGGACCTGAACCCACGACCCTTTGGTGCACAGGACGATGCCCCAACCAACTGAGCCACACCAGCCAGGGCAGGACGTTCTCCTTTATACTCACCTCTGATACGAATTCCTTTTGAAACGACCTTCCTGGCCACAAAATTGCTGGTTGACTCCACCCATTTGGTCCCATTGAGTAAAACCCTTTTGTGGCAACACAGGACCTTATTCATGTGAACCTCTGTGTCCTCTTGTTCTGGGAAATTTTTATGCACTTACGTGGGATAGAACACAGAGTGAACCTTTTCAGAGAAAATTACCGCTGTGGAGGCCATGAGGGCGTTTTCTACCTTCCACTGATTATAATCTGCGTACCTTGGGAGGGGCCGCCTGGAAGGAGACCTGGGCGGGGGGAGAAAGCATAGAGCTCAGCCATGATTATGGGAATAATTTATAGGCTGTTCTAGTCCCCGGGCTCAGTTCAGCGCAGTTTCCCCAGCCCGCATGCTGCTGATCGGACGCTGTTACCCAGGCCTGCCCCTGGACAGGAGACTCGTGTTACCAGCAGCAGGAGAAAAGGGGTTTTGTGTGCTGGGTGGGGGTGGGAACGGGCCGAGAGGCAGTGGCCGAGACAGCACGTGCTGGGCCGTGTGCACAGGGAGGCAGTAGCTCTGCATTTAAACCATTTTAACTACAGGTCTTCCCTCCGACTGGAGGCCAGAAACGGGCCCACCACCTACACAGGGCCAGTTCCTCTCAGCCCTCCATCTGTCTGTTATCGGGGCACGTCACAGACAATTCCAAAGAGCTCAGTGACTTTTTGGTAACATATCCTAATATTAGTTTTTCTTTTTAAAAATATGTTTTTATTGATTTTAGAGAGAGGGAGAGGGAGAGAGAGATGGAAACATCAATGATGAGGGAGAAACATCGATCGGCTGCCTCCTGCACGCCCCCTGCTGAGGATCGAGCCCAAAACCCCGGCATGTGCCCTGACCGGGAATCGAAACAGTGACCTCCTGGTTCAGGGGTAGAAACTCAACCCCTGAGCCAGGCCGGCCGGGTGAGACTAACTTGTTTTATTAGTGATGTGTGCGGGAGGTCAGGTGAGCTGACCCCGTGGTCTGTAGACCTGTCACCTTGGTGCCCCGAGGCTCGGCGGGAAGCGCTCATCCCGGTAACCGACCAGGCGGCTCTCCCTCGCCCTCCCCCTGCAGACCACCAGCCAGACGGAGCTAGAGAACTGGATCACCGCCATCCACTCGGCCTGCTCGGCCGCGGTCGCCAGGCACCACCACAAGGAGGACACGCTCCGCCTCCTCAAGTCCGAGATCAAGAAGCTGGAGCAGAAGATCGACATGGATGAAAAGATGAAGAAAATGGGCGAGATGCAGCTGTCGTCCGTCAGCGACGCCAAGAAGAAGAAGACCATCCTAGACCAGGTGACCACTCCATCTAGACTAAACCATCCTAGACCAGGTGACCACTCCATCTAGACTAAACCATCCTAGACCAGGTGACCACTCCATCTAGACTAAACCATCCTAGACCAGGTGACCACTCCGTCTAGACTAAACCATCCTAGACCAGGTGACCACTCCGTCTAGACTAAACCATCCTAGACCAGGTGACCACTCCTTCTAGACTTCAACCATCCTAGACCAGGTGACCACTCCATCTAGACTAAACCATCCTAGACCAGGTGACCACTCCATCTAGACTAAACCATCCTAGACCAGGTGACCACTCCGTCTAGACTAAACCATCCTAGACCAGGTGACCACTCCGTCTAGACTAAACCATCCTAGACCAGGTGACCACTCCATCTAGACTAAACCATCCTAGACCAGGTGACCACTCCATCTAGACTAAACCATCCTAGACCAGGTGACCACTCCGTCTAGACTAAACCATCCTAGACCAGGTGACCACTCCATCTAGACTAAACCATCCTAGACCAGGTGACCACTCCATCTAGACTAAACCATCCTAGACCAGGTGACCACTCCGTCTAGACTAAACCATCCTAGACCAGGTGACCACTCCATCTAGACTAAACCATCCTAGACCAGGTAACCACTCCATCTAGACTAAACCATCCTAGACCAGGTGACCACACCGTCTAGACTAAACCATCCTAGACCAGGTGACCACTCCATCTAGACTAAACCATCCTAGACCAGGTGACTACTCCGTCTAGACCACAACCATCCTAGACCAGGTCACCACTCTGTCTAAACTAAACCATCCTAGACCAGGTGAGCACTCCATCTAGACTAAACCACCCTAGACCAGGTCACCACTCCGTCTAGACTACAACCATCCTAGACCAGATGACCACTCCATCTAGACTAAACCATCCTAGACCAGGTGACCACTCCGTCTAGACTAAACCATCCTAGACCAGGTGACCACTCCGTCTAGACTAAACCATCCTAGACCAGGTGACCACTCCGTCTAGACTAAACCATCCTAGACCAGGTGACCACTCCGTCTAGACTAAACCATCCTAGACCAGGTGACCACTCCGTCTAGACTAAACCATCCTAGACCAGGTGACCACTCCGTCTAGACTAAACCATCCTAGACCAGGTGACCACTCCGTCTAGACTAAACCATCCTAGACCAGGTGACCACTCCGTCTAGACTAAACCATCCTAGACCAGGTGACCACTCCGTCTAGACTAAACCATCCTAGACCAGGTGACCACTCCGTCTAGACTAAACCATCCTAGACCAGGTGACCACTCCGTCTAGACTAAACCATCCTAGACCAGGTGACCACTCCGTCTAGACTAAACCATCCTAGACCAGGTGACCACTCCGTCTAGACTACAACCATCCTAGACCAGGTGATTACTCTCCACGTAGACTAAAACTATCCTAGACCAGGTGATCACTTCTTCTCTTTGTCTTCTATGAAAAGCCAGCTCTTGTAAGTCATATAATTCCCAGTGCTAGAAATCTCACTTTTTAAAAAAAATATGTTTTTATTAATTTTTTTTAGAGAGAGAGGAAGTGAGAGGGAGAGAGTAGAAATAGTGATAGAGAGCCTCCTGCATGCCCCCTACTGGGGATGGAGCCTGCAAGCTGGGCATGTGCCCTGACTGGGAATCGAACTGGTGACCTTTTGGTGCATGGAATGACGCTCAACCAACTGAGCAACACTGACCAGGGCTGGAAACCCCATATTTTTTACTACTTTTGCCTGGATTTGTGGCCCAGAGCCCGGTGCTGTTGGGCCTGCAACTCTGAGAAAACAAATTCCATGCTCAGAGGACAGAGAGGAGCTGGTGACATATTTCTGTTTGTCACACTGAACGTATGGCCCCAGATCTTTGCAGAAGAACATGTAGCCTGTGAAATCCGTGATCCTCGACTTGCTGGTACCTAAGAAACGTAGGGGAACTTCTGTGTACCCCTCAGAATGAAGACCGAGGCCTTTACAACACGTACATCTGTGGCGTTTGCGTAGGATAAAGCTGCTGACATGTTTTTCCTTCCCTCGCCGTTTCTTGTCCCGTTTTCACCACCACAGATCTTCGTTTGGGAGCAGAATCTCGAACAGTTCCAGATGGACCTCTTTCGTTACCGCTGCTACCTCGCCAGTCTCCAGGGTGGGGAGCTGCCCAACCCCAAGAGGCTCCTGGCTTTTGCGAGCCGACCGACGAAGGTGGCCATGGGGCGCCTGGGAATCTTCTCCGTCTCGTCCTTTCACGCCCTGGTGAGTGGCAGCAGATGAACGTTTGAAACCGTCGGTCTTCATGGTTGTGCTGAGCGGGACTTACCGAGGGTGTGGGGGGGTGTCCGGTGTGGAGGTGTGTCCGGTGTGGAGGTGTGTCCTATGCGGAGGTGTGTCCTATGCGGAGGTGTGTCCTATGTGGAGGTGTGTCCGGTGTGGAGGTGTGTCCGGTTTACCACCATGTGTGGATTCCGACAGCCCTCTCCCTGCAGGGCTGCAGGTCTCCCCTTGACTCTGAAATTTATTACTTCAGCCCCTCCATAGGTTGGGTTGTTGTGCAGAGAAAATGTGAATGGTGTTGTCTTAAGAGAGCTCTTTGCAGGTAGCTCTTGTTGATAACTCATGTCATCCTTGTTAGGGTCATGTTTTTTTTTTTTTTTTTTTAGATATATCTTTATTGATTTCAGAGAGAGGAAAGGAGAGGGAGAGAGAGAGATAGAAACATCAATGATGAGAGAGTCATTGATTGAGCCCGCAACCCGGGCATGTGCCCTGACCGGGAATCGAACCCCGATTGCCTGGATCCCAGGTTGACGCTCAACCGCTGGGCCACGCCCAGCCGGGCTAGGGTCATGTTTTTAACTCAAGTACATATTACTTATAATTAACCTTACGGAAATGGTAAGTGGAGGCTCTCTCCTACACAGATGTCTGCCTGTCTCTCTCTGTCTCTGTCTCTCTGTCTCTCTGTCTGTCTCTTCCCCCCTCCTTCCCTCCCTCTTGCCTGTGTACAAGCTCCTACAGTATGTATTGAGCACAGATCTTTGGAGAGCCCCCTTCTCACTTTATTTTTGCCGTTGTCTTCACGGCCATAAGTACCTCGCACGTTAGAGGAACGCGAAGGCCTCCCTGACTCCCCTGCGTAGCGTAGGCACTGGCTGGGGAAGGGAGTTTTCGTCCGACCCCAGTGGCAGGTTGCACAGCTGGGTCCTGTGGGTACAGCCTGTAATTTCATGTACTCGCCCAATTGCCAGCAGCTTTGCGTACTTTAGGTTTCTTTTCTGCTCAAAAATTGCTAGGCGGGTGGCATGGTTTTAGCGGATCCGAGTCAACACCCCCTGAACATGAACTGTCCTCGGCCTGTTGGCTGTGGCAGGAAACGCGGCGCCTCAGGTTCCGGAAACGGCTTTGACCCGAGCGCGATGCTCTGGCCTTGCCTGTCGGCTGCCCTTTGACCGAATTCCAAGCTGGGATTCACGGGAGGAGCCCGGGTTCTTTATCAGTAGATCAGCAGCGTCATTCAGATAATGACGGTAGATTTACATATCTCAAGGATTCTTAAACCATTTCTGGGGTTATTCAGACTGGCACCCTGACTTGTTCTGCTGGTGACGGTGCAGGTGTGGTCGCCTGGCCACACCCTCCACAGAGCTGCCAGGCCCTGTGACGAGTCGGGTGCTGGGGTGGGTGCATCTAGGGGATGGGATGCTCTGTGGCTCTGGGACTGTTTCTGAGATCCAGACCCTCAGCCAGATCTCAGTTTGCCTGTTCAGCCAGCAAACCAGGGTAAAAATTCTTACTCACCCCCTCGTAGGAATGTCCGGAATCGAGGGAGCATTTGATGGAGGTGGCTCCCGATGCAGCGAAGGGGGGTTATCGATACTCATACGAAACCCCGGCGGGCCTCCAGGGGCCCTTCCTTTACCGGGCGGGCAGCCTCTGGAGAAAATAATTGTGCTGCTGACCTACAACCTCTGTGCGTTAGTTTCTTCGAAGCCACTGGCTCTCCCCTCCCTGAGGAGGGTCGGAGAAGCCACTCGATGCCCCTTCCGTATCCATCCCGGAGCCTGTCCTGTCCTTTCTCCGTGTCTGTGACGCGTGTGCTCTTCTGGGACGCTCAGGCCGTGGACGCCTGGCCAGCCGCGGAGCCGGGCTGGACGTTAGTGCCTCCCTCAGGCTTTAGTCCGCGATTTTCAGGGAGATTTCATCCCGGGTGTGCGGCTGTCCCTGCTCCGTCCTTTCCCTGTGGGTCCTGGGCGCTGCCTGTGGGTCCCTGCAGACTTCTCCTCTCCGGGCGGGGTCCGGTTCGCACCCCGGGGCCTGTCCAGTACCCCTTTCCCGTTCAACCCTACGGTGCCTGTAGGAGGTGAGATTCCAGGCAGCGAATGTCCCCGTCCGACTTATCGGATATTTATTTTTACCACCTCTCCTCGTCGTTGGACCCCAGGGATTTTTTTTCCCCCTTGGAGAAAAAATCAGTGTAGCCTCTGTCTGGACGTATTTTGTTCCTACTTTTAAGTGGGGGCCTGCGGGGAGGAGGTGTGAGGCCGCGGTGCCCGGATGGGGTAGGGAGGGCGGAGATTTGAGCTGCAATTCCAGCGCCATTCAGGGAAAGGCCCCCCCCCCGTTGCTCCCTGATCCCCAGTAATCGCTGGAGGTCCCGGCTGCCGCTCTGAGAGGCCGTCACCGGCACCGTTTGGGTTTGCACAGGTGAGCGGGACGAGAGTCCCTGGCTGGCCACAGAGGGGGCCATTGTCTGGAAAGATTGTTGAGAAACTCCCGTCCCTCGTCCCGTGGGATTTCTGCCAGCTCTTTTCTCAAAACCCCTTTGGTCGTTTTGTGTCACGATTGCCTTGGGGTAGCCGAGCACAGGGCCCCAGCAGGTTATCACTGTGAGGACCTTGTGTGAAGAGTGTTTGCTGGAGTCGGGGCTCACGGGCCCCAGGAGCGGAGGGTGTTGATGGTCGTGTGAGTCCCCCCGCCCCCGTCTGCGAGTTGCTGTTTAATTGCTGTAGCCGGGCAAGGTAGGGTGTCTTTCAATTCTCACCAAGAGAGTGAGGATATTTTTTCCATTGATTTTTTTTTTTTTTTTTGAGAGAGTGGGGGGGGGGCATGGATGTGAGACACAGTCATTGATAACTACAAGAATAAACTCTTCGTTTGTGTTCTCACAACTGTAAACCTTTTGCCCCACCCTGTATATGCGCTTGGGCGTATATATGGTGTATATGTACCTATTTATCTATGTATAAATAGATATAAAACTATGAGACCAAACAGGCATTTTCCCCTGGACTTTCTGCCTTGAGCACCGTTTATTCAGGGGCCTTGGCCTCCCTTGTGACGAGGGGCGTAGCTGGCCTTGACGCTCATGGGGCAGCACGTGGTCATTTATCCCTGCGCCACCTCGCTTCCCTTCGGCGTGGAGAGCGATGGGAATCAGGGAAGGCTGCACACTTGCTGTGGACGCCTGCCTTTAGTTCCGTGGTTTTGCCGCCAGCCGCCCCTTGAGTCTAATCCCAGGCCAGGGCCTGTCCGCGGCGGTTCCCACCGCGTCTGCGCCAGCCTGGGCTTCTCAGGTGCGAAGCTGAGACAATGCAGGGCCTCTCCGTTTTCACCTGGGGCCCAAACGGTCCCCCATAGCCTTGCAGAGCAGCTGTTTGGATCCCCGTTTTTAATGTACGTGGGGATCTTTGCCAGCTGCTCGGGGGGCTTCAGGGGGTCTACACGGTGAATACTGAAAACCTCGGAGGGTGTGCCTTCCACCCAGCGTGCCCACTGCTGGCGCCCCTCTGTGCCCAGCAGTATTTCACCCCTGAGGACACTGCCAGGCGGCTGCCACCCCACGGGGAGCTGCCCGCGTGGGAATTTCCGACAAGTAGGTTCTGAGACCTTCACCTCCAGCAAAAAGGGTGGGTGGGGCAGTTTTCTTTCCAGTCAGACTGGCAGCGTCCCGGGTGCCCTGCGGAGACATCCTGGCTGACGCTCCCCACAGTCCCTGGGACGTTGCCTGTGACCTGTAGGCCTGCGTGTCCACCTGGGAAGGACTCTGTGGGGTCTGCACAGAGCTCAGTGTCCACCCGAGGAGTTGTCACAGTGGCAGGTGGAAATTCGGAGTCTTCCTTCTGAAACGCTTGTCTGGGCTGCTGGAACCTTGCAAAAATCTCAGTGGTGTTTAGGTTCCTTTTTCTATTTTTAAACAAATTACAGCTTTTATCTTCCTCCCACCCAAACATGGGGCATGGGGGGCTAGCGGGTGAGGCCCCCTCCTCACGTCCCCAGACTCGCCCTAACTGGTTGACCTGCCCCTTCTGGTGGCAGGAAGGAGGAACCGGAAGGAGAGTGGGAGGGAGGGAGGGGAAAGAGAGAAACATCGATGTGAGAGAGACTCATCCCCTGGTTGCCTCCCGCACGTGCTCCAGCCAGGCCCTGGAATCGAACCTGTAACGTGCCCTTGACTGGGAATCGAACCCGAGACCCTTCAGTGCCTGGGCCGATGCTCTAACCACTGAGACACACCAGCCAGGGCTGTTTCTTTTGAAACCCTCACCCAAGGATGTGCTTATTGATTTTACAGAGAGAGACACACAGAGAAACATTAGTTGGTTGCCCCCCCATACGCGCCCCGACCGGGGATTGAACCCACAACCTAGGTAGGCACCCTGACCGGGAATCAGACCCACCGGTGGCCGTTTGGTGTACGGGACCATGGTCCAGCCAGCCACTCGGGCCGTCCTGCCAGGTGAAACCCTCTCTGAGGACAGTTCCTGGAACTGCAGACACACCTGTTCCTGCATCCGTGAGCTTTGGGTCGTCTGTGCTCGGCTCCGTCTCGGTTTCTCCGACGGGACCGGAGGGAGAATGGTACCGGAGGCCAGCGGTCACCTGTCCAGTAAGGAAGATGACCTTGTGGGATTCTGAGAAAACCGAATGGAGGGGTCGGTAGTTTGAGGCTTAATGCGGAATCACGGGGACCCACAGGTGCTGTTTTGCCGACACCCGGGCACTGTTTTCCGTCACCGCGCTGTAGGGTTCAGGGTTGGCTTAACGTCGGGCAGGAGTTCAAGCCCGTGGCCAGGACGTCTGACTTTGAGACAGGCCACGGGCATCCTGTGCCTGTGCCGTGTCTTTACGGCCGAGTCAGACGGTGGCACATTTGCCCACCTTCACGCCCTGAGTCCAGGAAGGGCCCCGGCGGCCGGGCCAGCGCCCAGTGTGGGTGAGCTCGGTGCTGGCTGGCGTGGCGGAGGACCCGTGTGTGAAGGTGGGGCGGTGGGGTCCCCAGGAACAGGCGAGCGGTGCGACACCTCTCCTGTCATGTCCCCCTTGCCGTCCCCAGGTGGCCGCCCGCACCGGCGAGACGGGAGTGAGACGGCGCACCCAGGCCATGTCCCGGTCCACGAGCAAGCGGAGGAGCAGGTTCTCGTCTCTCTGGGGTCTGGACACAACCTCCAAGAAGAAGCAGGGACACCCCAGCATCAATCAGGTGGGTCCGGGGGAGAAGGCCAGCCCAGGGGCTCCCTCAGCACCTCACTTCGGGGGGGGTGTGTGCTCACGCGTGCATTTGGTTCTTTACTGACACTGAGTGTTATCTGAAGTCAGCTAGTTGAGCCCTGGCCAGCATCGCAGTGGTTAGAGCGACAGCCGCTCACCTAGGGGTCGCAGGTTCAATTCCTAGTCAAGGGTGCGCACCTGGGTTGCAGGTTCGAGTCCCGCCCTGCCCTGGGGCACATGTTGGAGGCAACCAATCAGTGTGTCTCCCACATCAGTGTTTCTCTCCCCCCCCCACACTTTCTCTAAAAATCAATGGGGAACATGCCCTCAGGTGAGGATTACAAAAATTACAAATTCAGCTGGTGGACTCGAGTGCTTCAGTCGTGCTCGATGCCTCGTGTGGACGACCTGTGCCCCTAACGTTGACCTCTGCTGTGAGCCGCGCTCCCCACCCAGACCCAGGCTCCACCAGCACCTCTCCAAGCCCTGCCTGATTTCAGAGCTACTGGAAGTGCTCAGTCTCTCCCGAGTCTCCCGAGAAAGCTGGGCTTGTGGACGCAAGCGGGCCCCTGGCAGCATCTCCTAAGCCACCTCTGGCCCTGGATCAGAGACGGCCTCCCGGACGCCTGGTGGTTTGCCCTTGACTTTTTGGGGCTGACGTTACGTGAGCCGTTTCTCTGCTTCCCAGGGTCCCAGGGCGAGGAGCCAGGGTCTATGTGCTCACGTGACTCCCTCTCTCCCGGGTTCTAGCGCTCTTGGTGGCTTACGAGCCACAAGTGTGCCCGTAGACGTTTGCTCACTTCAGGACTTTGAAATGGACAAAAACTGTCTGTTTCTTAATCTCATTTGCTTTGAGGGCAGAAGCTTTTTCCGATTTTGAGTATTAATTATCCTGATGGTGTCTGCGGGTTTGGGAGCCGATGCAGACAGTTTCTCATGTCCACACGTTTAGGTTTTGAATACCCAGCGGTTTCATTACCCTGTTAAGAGTTCAGTCATATCTTTAAGCTAGCGGGATTCGTTCAGTTCCAAGGACTAGACAGGTTTCTATTTTATATATTAAAACAACCTTTTAGATACCTGGCCAGGTGTACGAGTCTCTAGCAGAAATTGTTCATCGTGAACGAGTCCAGTTCATGGCTTTTGCAAGTTTATTTTCTTTAAATTTAGGAGGGTTATCCAGAAGTAAAAGCAGACTTTTTTTTTTTTTAAAGTTTTTATTGATTTCAGAGAGAGGAAGGGAGCGGGAGAGAGAGGTAGAAACATCAGTGATGAGAGTCATTGATCGGCTGCCTCCTGCACGCCCCCGACTGGGAATCGCGCCCACAATCTGGGCATGTGCCCTGACCGGGAATCGAACCGTGACCCCGTGTCATAGGTTGATGCTCAGCCTCNAGAGTCATTGATCGGCTGCCTCCTGCACACCCCCGACTGGGAATCGCGCCCACAATTTGGGCATGTGCCCTGACCGGGAATTGAACCGTGACCCCCTGGGTCATAGGTTGATGCTCAGCCTTNTTGATGCTCAGCCTCCGAGCCACGCCAGCTGAGCAAAGCAGAGCTTTATTTTAATTGTCAGAGATGCGGGAAGGGATCTAGATAGAGGACTGAGTTCCCTGTGGTCTGTTCCACAGGCTCCTGAGCTCAGACATGATGCTGGCAGATCTAACGTGTGTGAGGCTGGCGCATAGCCGTGCCCGTGATCCTTTCCCTTCCTCTGTGTGTGTCTGTGTCTCCAGATTTCTCACACGACACTCTTGTGCCCGCNCTCCAGATTTCTCACACAACACTCTTCTGCCCGTAGGTGTTTGGTGAGGGACCCGACGCCGTCAAGCAGTCTTTGGAGGGCGTATTTGAAGACACCGTCCCGGATGGCAAGGTAAAAATAAACGTAGGCAACTTTTCTAAAAGTGCCACAAATGCATTGCGTGGCACTGTGCCGTGGCTTCTTGGTATCCTAAGGTTAAGTGGACTCCCTCTCAAAAGCTGAAGCAATCAGGCCTTTAAAGCTGGGTTGCAGGTCCACAGAGCTTGCAAAGCGTTTAACTTCTAAAATGTGGTGACCAGCCCGGCCGGGCGTGGCTCAGTGGTTGAGCGTCCACCTGGGATCCAGGTGATTGGGGTTTGATTCCCAGTCAGGGCACATGCCCGGGTTGTGGGCTCGATCTATGACTCTCTCATCACTGATGTTTCTATCTCTCTCTCTCTCCCTCACCTTTCCTCTCTCTGAAATCAATAAAGATATATTTAAAAAAATTAAAATGTGGCAACCACAGGAATGCTCTGCTGGCCTTACATTTGCAGGACTGTCATTTGAATGTAAGTTTCCACCCAGAACTTAGGAGGAAAGTAGGGTTCTGGAGCTGAACGCTTCGTGCCACTGCTGATCCATTTCCTGTGCAACCCCCCGCCCAGAGGTGGGGTTGGCCTCCCTCTCCGCCCACACATGCTGGTTCATTCCCAGTAATTTCAAAGAACTCTTCTGATCGTAGGTTCTTTTACAGAAACTGCATTTACATGAGCTTCAGTCAGAGGATTACAGGCTTGGTTCAGCCTTGTGCTGGGATTTAAAGGAGCTTTCAAACCACTCTGACTGGAGCCCCATAAAGAATATTGATCCCCCCCCCAGCCACATTTTTTAGCCTCTAAGTAAATGGACATCCTGAGTGTTCAGACCCCAATTGTGATCCCGGCAGCTCCTTTGTTTGGGGTGCTCTGGTGTTGCGACTGCGACCTTGAGGGACCCTCTGGTTCTCAGACTCAGAGTCAACGTGGCAGAATTCAGTGCAGCGTCGCCACGCAGCCCTGCACTGGTGGTCAGCCGTGGCCCAGAGCCACGGTCTCTCTGGCTGAGCCCCGAACCAGAGCGCAGTGGGGTGTTCGAGACTGGAGGCGGGGAGAAGAGTGGCTGTGGGCCGGCCTTGTCCCCTTTCGCACCCAGCCTACCCCGGATCACGTCGTCACAGACACAGCGGAGCTGTCCTTGCAGATACCCATCCGTGGCTTTCTCTTTGCACGTGTCTGTTTCCGATGGATTTAAATCGCTGTCCCTGTTGCGATTCAGGCACAGTGGCCGTTTCTGAAGGCAGCTGGTCCATCTCGCTCTATCCCGTTACTACCCCGTGTTCAGCGTTGGGGTGTCCTCTCCACCCATGGATGCCAGAAACTGCATGTTTTTCCCATTGATTTCTGTGTTGCTTTTTTGTTTTTTGTTTCCCCAAGATCCTTCTTTATCCCATGTCTTGGCTGGAATGCCTTGTTCTCAAAGAGCAGTTTAGACGCAGAACTGGGGCTGATCGCGTGCTGAGAGGCCCACAGGGGGCGGGTGATAGGGTGTCCGTTCTAGTTAGTGAGAGGCAGGCCGATTGCCTTTGGACGGTTCCTTTCCTGGAGTTTGATTTCCCTGCGAAGGCGACGCCGTGTAGAAGCAGAGCTGAACAGGCCTCCGCTGAGTTTAGTTCGGTCGTCTTTGCAGGAAGTGTGCACCCCATCCTGGGGCCTGCCCTTCACGTAGGGGGCCTGCGATGGTCCCACTGCGGCCTGGGCTTGGAAACTCGCTTCTTTCGCTGATTCCAGCCTGTTCTTGGGAATCTGTAGATTTTGTGCTTACCAACCAGCGGCCTGGTTCTAAACCAGCCGTCACGGCTGGTTACTTAGCACAAATCGAGACTCAGTGTTACTGTTACGTGGCCGGGATCTGACGTCATTCTTTTTCCACGTGTTTCAAAGAGATGAGGCTCCTGCTGCTTCATCCTGATGTTTCACTGGCCCATTGAGTGTTTTCTGCTTTGGCTGTTTAAGTTGCTTAGATGTAACCGGCTGCTGAGCGTGTACCTGAGACACGTCCCTGTCACCCTGTGGGCTCAGAGCCTGTCCTGATCCCCCGGCAAGGTGGTGGGGAGGCCGGAGAGAAGGCGGCAGCCTCAGGAGGCCGCTGCGCGGGCCCTCACACAGGGCTTCACTTGGTCCTCACGCTCACCCCGAGGTGCTCCGACGCCACCTGGGAAGTGCGCTGCTCTCTCCCAGGTACCGGAGGTCACCTCCGAGCGCAGAAGTGATGCTGCTGATAATCAGGCCGCCCTCGGGCACCACCTGCCCTTAGCGGCTTCCTCACTGTGGCCTTTGGAGCATGGAGCTCCCAGGGCAGACGTTCTCGCTGTAGGAATTTTCCGCTCTGAGTTTGCAGTGGTTATGGGAGAACCGAGAGCAGTGAAGCTGAGCTGAGTGGATGGATTAGGTCTCCCTCCCC